AGGATTGGGCCGAGGGCGCGGAGGCGCCTGGGCCGCCGGGCAGCGGCCCCCGCATGGTTCGCTTAGTAAGGGGCAGATGCCGTCGCTTTGCCGGTGCCTCGCGGGAGGTAACGGCACGCGTTACGCTGCTGCGCGGCCGCTCAGTGCTGCGCAGGTGTTCCCAGGCTTTAATTTCCAAAAGTTCTGACTATGCTTTAAAAAAAAAAAAAAAACCCTAATAATTGCTGCTGCAAAAGCATAGGAAGCAATAAAGCAGTGAGCTCTGAGCTGAAGTTTTACCGATCCGTTTCCCTCCCTCGCTGTGCCCGTGTGTGCGGTGCTGTTCAGGGGGTGCCCGTCTCTCCCTCTGCAAATGGCACCAAAACCCAGGATAGAGACGTGAGGCCCGATCCTGCAAACCTTTCCTTGCACAGGGTCTCACGTTTGCATCGCCTAAACAAACCCGAGTGAAAACCGCTCGCTTTACCAGCGCATCGAGTCACGGGTTTCTTAGTGCAGGTGACATTAAGGACTTGTATCATGGAAAACTCCCGCAGCAAATTGCCATTGATTCAAATGGGAGTAGTCCTGGGCCCTAGCCCGGGGACAGGAAGGTTCACCTCCAGCTAATCCTGGCTGCGAGAAGTTTATTTTTAGTTGAGAATTAGCTGAGGTTCAGAGTAAGCGGCGTGAGGAGCAATTCACAGTTCACAGTGCCTCTTTCAGGGAACAGCTTCAAATGATATGGGAAAGAAACAAGTGGTAAGTTTGCAGATTTTTGAGCCATTGATCTCAGTCTTTTTCATTTCTTTTCTTTATTTCTAGTTGTATTTTGGAGTGTGGCAAACATTTCTTCCTCTATATTCTTCCGGTGCAATTATATAACACAAAATCTGAAAGTAAGCTGCCTGCCTTTTCCTAGGTGAGAGAGAATTATCTGGTTTGTGAGAGCTGGCTTTCAGATTGTTAACAAGGGATACTTATTTTTAGATTTTAGTTATGTTTGATCTCCTGGTAAATATGAAAGTTTTTTATCATATTAAAAAAGTTCTAATAAATAAGCTTATTTCCTTTTTATTGCTCATTACTGAATGTTCTTGTTTTGTAATTCTGCGTTTACAGCTTCATTAGTTTAAAAAAAAAACCCCTCAGCTCATGATATGTAGTGTGCAAGTATATTGCTATTAAATTATTGCAGTGGGTTAATATTTAAATGAAATGACTGATAAACTTTCTTGTGAATTCAGTATCGTATATGAAACGCAAAAATTCTTCAAGCGAACTTTAAATGCAAGCTGCACCTCATATATGCCTATTAGGTGCATGTCCCTAATGTAATACCCATCCAAATTCAGGTAAAAGCATCATATTATTCCTCAGTAGTACTGTGCACTTCTATGTAGCCTCTTCATTTGGGAGTCTCTCCATATTTTCACTTGCATTTACTTATGCGTGAGATGTTCATAGTGTGGTTTCGGGAGCATGAGAAGCTAAACCTACCTAGCATATTCTGACCATACCTGGAAATAGCTGTTTTCTGTGATGTGGTTTAACAGGTACTCAGGAGAGAGGTGATTTTGCACTGACAGAAGTTGTTTTTTGCCTCTGTCTCTTCTCTTGCAGTGCCCTCCTCGTGCCCTCCCTCCAGTGCCAAGGTAAGATCAGTTCACTTTACGGAACTGATAGGAGTTGTGTACTGCAGTGGTCTTTAAAGGTGATGAAATGAAAAAACAAAAAACTTGATGAACGTCTGAGTAGTCGTGAAGGCTTTAAAAATGTTGCATTTTCTTGCTAATTTGCTGTCCCAGAACCCCTTACAAAGGCTGTAAAAGCATTTTAAAGTTTTACAGGAGGTGAGAAACTTTATTATATAACTTCATTTATTGTTACTTGGAGAAGTAATCCTATTAAAAAGTCTTGGACAGGCGGTTGCCTCAGGTTTATTAACATCTACTGCAGTTTTATTAATGTTCCTCTTTTCAATCTGCTTTTCTCCTCTTCCTTCCTTCCCTGTTTCTTCATAATCTCTTGTATATTTGAATCATAACAGAAACTTTTAAAATAAGATTAAGTGTTCTTGGATAGGCTTGTAGGTGCATAGCAGTATGACACAGTTTAGAGAGAAATACGGGCATGTCATTTTCAGCATCCGAGTGGATAGTGCAGAAGGAAAGGCAACTATATAGGCTTTGTGGCATAGTACATCAGAAGTCCTTCAAGGTATCTGAAGGCAAATTTGGTGTTTATGATCACGTATAAAAGCTGCGTTCCTGTTTTTAGTAACATACACGTGCAAATGTTTCATAACTTCTTTTGTTAGTCTGTTACATGTCAGACAGTGAGGCAAGTTGTAATTAAACAGCCAGGTGATTAAAGCTTTTAATCTGATCTGTGACTTAACCAATCAAGAAACTGTATGCAGTCATGAACAAACTGTTGAATCTTGATGATTGTTTAGTACCCTTAACTCTGTTGTATGGAATTGCTCATAAAAAGAAACAGGGAGTGGGGGTGAGGGAATGAATCACAAACAAAACAAAAAAGGCAGGTGTGAATTTAACACTGTTGTGAACTGTGATTGATTCAAAACTAATTCTCTTCTTTGTTCCTTTTACGCTGCTCTTCTGCACTTTCCCCTTTAAATATGAAAATGAAGTGGAAGCCAAGGTGAGTTATTTTAACATTAAAGAGAATTACAAGCTTTAATAATTCCTTTTGATGTCACTTCATCCTCCCTGTAAAGTTTGGTCCCTGTACTTTTCCGCGGTGCAGGTTGATAATTATTTAAGCTGCCTAGGTACCTGGGCTGTCACTGTCAGAATTATCTAGTGTTTTTATTTGTTCTCTTCGCTGTTTACTGTTGCTGTATTGAATGCGTGTAACTGGAATGTTGTCACTATGCTGTAAATAAGAAGTTTATTCTTCAGAGCATTATTTTGAATGTTTGTTTTTCACTTATTGCGTATGTATGTGCTTAGTTAGCCTCTGTTGCACTCAAGAAAGATTTCTTATCCTCTGTTTTGCTGTCTTCTTCTGTACTCTCCCTGCTTGTGTGAATTGGTCAACTGTCATGTTATCTGCAGAAGGTGGAGGATGTCTTCACTTGTAAAAGGACTAGCAATAGAATGGCTGCTAAAAAAGGGAAATGGAGGTTTCTCCATGTTATGCAACTGTAATTATGTTTTATGTTCTACAGATGAAATTCCACTCAGTCGTCCAAAAAAAAGGAAGCCCAAAGGAAAGACTCCATTAGGTAAGATCCTGCCAAGACTGAAAACGGGGTTTGGAATCGCAGTGAGACTTGCACTGTAGCCAAGCTCCTGACAGAGACACAGTTCTCAGCTTTGTACTCTGCTTCTGAAATAGTGTTGTTCTTGCCTAAGTTACTATAATTGGTTTTATGTCGATAGACTGAATTTTCTTCCTCCAAGCGCTGTTGTGTTTAGAACAAAGTTGTGACACTAACTTGAGTATCTTGTTCTATCCCCTTCTTCCTCCTAAGGTCCATTCCCAGTACTGCTAATACAGCAAATCTTGATACTGTACTGAAAAAATGCCTTTAATGTTTATTCCTGCTTTTCTTTTCCTTTCTAAAATGTTTGGATCCTTCATTGAACAGTTATTCCCAGCTGTGAGCTACTTTTGATGTTGAATATGTTATTAAGTACTTGGAATTTTGAATGAACTAAGAACAAGCTAATTTAAACACAGCTGGCTGGATTTCAGTCTTTGGCCAAATAAAGTCACAAGTTAAGAGCTAAGACCCGAAAATATGACTAGTACTAGAGCTTTGTGTTTTACAGAAAATTGATCTGTAAAACAAGCATATGTTTTTAAGCAAGATTACAAGCCTGATCTCTGTTTTATTAAAGCAAAATATGTTGATAGAATCTACTGTATTTTTTAAAAACAATTGACTTGAGACCATAAGTTTTGATGAATAACCCTCCTTTATCTGACTAAAGCTTACTGAAGGGTCTTTGTGTGCAACTAACAGGTACAGCTGTTGCTAGCAGGGTTTCCTAAGGATCAAGTTTTGTTTAGTGTTGTTTTCCGTGAGCTGAACGATGATACAAATTCTTCCTTGATTTTTGGCCAATACTTTGATGGTTAACGTTGCATTTGAGCACAATAAAAGCCTAAAGCATAGGAAAACCTGTTGTTTGACGTGAAGACAAAGAAAGATTCAGTTGTTACAGTAAAAACTGCCGTACCTGAAAGGGCTGTGAAAAGGTAGGTGTGACCTAAAATGGAAAAGTAAATTTGTTTCTACCCCAAATCGTGCAAATTGATGCTACTGCTGCTAGAATACTCAAAATTTCACGTAAACCTCTCATGGAGAATTAGTTCCTCTAAAGCCTGATAATTCATCTCTCGGACTGGAGTAGACATTCTTCGAAGCTTTTTTTTGTTTTCTGACTCCTTTACTCTTGTGTTGTTTATTTAGCATTTAAATTTCCCTGTACTGTTACATGTTTTGCCTTAGTGCTCATCTGTCTAGTTATGCCCATCAACTTGTAACAAACTGCTGTGTTAATTTTCCCTGAACCTTGCAGATAGTGTTTGCGTGTAGAAAGGAAAAAACATAGAGGCCCAATTCTTTCATGTGTTAGATTCCTTTCAATCTCAAGTGCTCTGCTGCAGACCCAAATGGGAATTATGCCACGTCTTAGATACCTCCAAGAAACAGTCAGAGTGAAAGGAGGGTTGCTGGTTATCTCTTATCACTTTTGTTTCCCAGCTCTTATATTTCTGGCCAATACTTTTCGTCTCAGCTGTAAGCTGGGCAAATAGAGAAGTTTTGCACAAGATATAGATACTCCCGTAGCTGAGCTTTATAAGTTTCCTGGCCAATGTGTGAAAAATTCCAAGTCTTGCTGTTTTTATAGCGTTGGTTGCAATCCAGCTTTCCTTGCGGCACAGCTCTTTCTCCCTGTTGAAGGTGTGCATGCCTAATTCTCTCTAGTTATTCTGTTAACAGGAATGATTGATCAGTCCATTTGTATCGCCCCTCCTTGAGGCGATTTGGTCACAGCATCAAATATTAGATTTGTAATGGAGAGCTTTTTTTCTCTAATACAAATAAAAGCCGATGTTTATCGTTTTAATGTATGTGTCAGAGATGACCTCCTGCAAAGCTGCTGAAGTGAGAGAAGAATGCCAAGGGCAGCTTTTTCTTAGCTGTTTCTCAGCTGCTCTGAATTGAAATTGCTGGAGTTTTTCTTCTGGATTTCAGATGGCATTGTGCAAGCAGCTGTTCGTCGGCAGTCTGAAAGCAGCGAGCCCTTAACTCCTGAACCTCACGATATCCCTCCTCAGAGGAAACGCAAGAAGAAGAAAGTACCTGCTGGTATGTGAAAAAACTGTAGATGGGAAAGAAGACCGAGTAAAACTTGGTAACACAAAAATATGATCGGCCGACTTGCGTTTTGGTTTAAGAACACGTCACACCATGTGCACTTGCATGGATAACAGGTGAACATAATTTCTGAATGAACGGTAGCTTAGAATTTGAATTTCTGATTCTGGCTTCCATAGGGTATGGATCCTGATGCAAATAATGGCAATACAGTTTTGGAGATGGTAAAATATATTCTTTCTATCATCCAAAACTCAGAACATCGCTTTTTTGCTATTGTGTTTCTAAAATAGCTAGTTATGTATATCAGTGAATATGTTATTCTATAAGAGCTTTGACATTTTCATGTGGCTTATTTTAAATCTTCAGATTCTGAGACCTCTTTTACCCAGCAGAATGTTGCGTCCTTGTTTCAGAATGGAAATGGCATGGATGTCCCGGAAGCTGAGGAAACAGTGATCCGCAAACAGAGAAAAAGAACTAAGTGAGAAAAGCTACTATAGCTAGTTATAGCTTATAATTCAGCATAACTGTGATAGTGAACGTGCATGGATAGTTTTTTCACTTTGTCACATTGCAAAGATGTGAAACCTTGAAGTCCATGATGCTATTCAACCTTTGCAGTAAATAGTATGTGTGGTTCCTTCTAGGGCTAAGATGTAACTTTCTTTGCTTGTTTGTTTACTACATGCCTGGGTACATTACAGTTCTGAACACATTAGTGTAAGTGTAATGTTTAAGTTGCATGCATGAAATGTTAGAATGTATAACTGCTTTCTTTGATTTTCCCTTTTTCTTAATTTTAGCCGAAACTTAGGTGCTTTCCGAGTCTCTTTATTTGCCTCTGCTCCAAGAATTATGCCTTTAAAACATATAGTCTACTTTCTATCAAAAGCAGCCACTTTCTTGGCTTTGTATTTAGTTTGTATTTTTTTTCTAATTGTTAATCACTTGTTATATATTTCTTCCCACCTTAGTGTTTTGATGCAAGCTGGAAATGAAATGAAAAGAAAAAAAAAAAAAACAAATTCAAGGGTTAACTTTACAGTTTCAGTTAGCTAGTTCCATGAGAATTTTAGTCCTTAATGCTATAAATGGGGGTAGTGTTATACACGACAGTAGGTTGATCTGTTCTTTTCAGCCAAGTTAGATGTGTTACATATTCATAGGAGTCATAAGCTTTTAAATTGTAGTCGCTATTCTCTCTCTGCCGTGTGGTATGTCTTGTGATGATAGGAAACCTCGGCCAGCAGAAATGCAGTGTTCCAATGAGCTAGAAGTGGAGGAGGAAGACATCATTGAAGATGAGCACAGAAGGAGCCCAGATCAGCAGCCTGTGTTTGCTGCTCCTACTGGGATTAGCCAGCCTGTTAGCAAGGTGTTTGTTGAAAAAAATCGTAAGTAAATCTTGTGATTTATGTACTGTAAGTATAATTGTTGTTGTTATATTTAAAAAGTGCATATTGTACTGTTGGAAAGAATCAAAATAGAAAAAAGTCTTCTAGCACAAAAATTATTTGCAAATAAATATACATGGTAATTTTTCAATGGTGAACGTTAGTGTTGCTGTGCTGGCACGTTTGTTTGAATTTTTGAATTCTATGTGCAAAAATAATTGTTTGATAGGACAGAACAGAGCTAACTTGACCTCAATATCCTCACAGTACCTTGAGGAGAAAGACAGTATCCCATGCTACATTGCAAAAAGTCTTTAATGGAGCAGTGTGCTCTGTGGCAGGGAACACTGAGTAACTACGTGAAGTGCCTTGCACATGCTTGTATCCATAGCCGGATCTTTCAGAGCACAGCACGCTGGCAAAGGCATCCTGATTTGAATGTGTGCTGACAGGGGGAGATGTCTTTTGATGGAACTACTGACACAGCTTTTTAACATTAGTCAGTTTAAGTATTAATGTAGGAATGATGATGGAAGGCAACAATATTCTCTAATATTAACTTCCCTATTATTTTAGGGCGTTTCCAGGCAGCTGACCGTGCAGAATTGGTTAAAACCACTGAAAATATCAATGTGCTCATGGATATGAAGGTTTCATGGACCACCAGAGACGTCGCCCTCTCAGTGCATCGAAGTTTCAGGTGTTTGATAGATTTATGTTTTGATGTAGATAAGCAGAAATTAGGATTTTTTTTTCTTCTCCTTGGAAGTTAGCGCCTTTCTCTACCATTGTGATGTATCTTTATTTCTTTCATATATTCTTAATAAGTGGTGATTGGAGATGCAGCTGGTATAAAGCTTCTCAGTCCTCTCGCTTTTGCTTTCTCTTGACAAGAATATCTATTTGCAATGTAGATACCTCATGTGAAATGCAACTTATTTAAAAAAAAACAAAAAAACAAGATGAAGCTAACCAAGGAAGAGCTATTGCAAGGTTTCAGACAAAATTAGAATAGAAAGAGTTTTATATGATCTGCTAATAGAAATACTAGGGACCTGCAGAGAAAACGTGCTGCAACATGAGATGCATCTATTGGCTATGGTATGACCAGAAAGAAAATACCTGAATTCAGATAGTTCCCAATGAAAAATCTTGGATGGTGAAAAAGAGGGAGGAGCGAATTTGGACTGAGGCTTAAGTTTGGACAGAGTAGCAAAAAGTGGTTTTTGCAAATGTGGCCATGTTGTGGTACAGAACGGGAAGATGACAGTCGTTGTCTTGCCCCGGTGTATTTCATCTAGAAGTTTGTGCTTGTTCCTCAGCTCTTTGTTATCAAGGAAGATAATGACGGGCATAAAAAGAGTTTGAGGAAATTCTGGACTGTCTCTCAAGGACAAATTGAAGAGCCTTGCGTAAGTGCAATGGGCTGTGGTCCCAGGGATCTCCAGGCAGAGTTGGAGAGTGCATTTAGGAGCTTCTATCATTATTTGAAGATTATGAAAATCACACATGGAGTGAAATATTTGAGGCTTTGCGAGGTGTTATGCTTCTCTGATGTAATCTGACATCTGTAGCAGTAAGAAAATGAAGTAATGATAGGATCAAGCGAAATATCATGGTTTTCTTTAATGAGTGCCTAAGTACTGGAGCAGTCTGTCAAAGGAGAAAGTGAAAGTCCCATCCGTTGCTTAGCATTTTTAAAGCTAGAGCAGGAGAAGCACTCAAAAACAATCTATGAATGGCTGCAGTCCTGTCATGGCAAAAAGATTGAATGGATGGCTTGACAGGGCTTTTCATCTGTAGTTTGTTACTGATTCAAAATGTTAACCTCATCTGATGTTCTCTTATCCATCCATTCAGGGTGATTGGACTCTTTACCCATGGCTTCCTTGCTGGGTATGCTGTATGGAACATCATTGTTATCTACATTTTGGCAGGAAACCAGCTTTCCACGGTTTCTAACCTCCTCCAGCAGTATAAGACACTAGCATACCCAGCTCAGAGTTTGTTCTATTTGTTGCTATCTGTGAGCACCGTCTCAGCCTTTGACAGGTAAAATATGTTTGTATTTGAAAGGCATATGTAGTTCATGTGCGGTATGTGCCCCTCTCCTCCAGCACATTTTGATATTCTATTAATGATTTAATATGATACGCTTCAAGTGCGATTTTTACAGGTGGCTGGCTGTAGAGATAAAAGGTGTACTTGGGCATTCAAAGCCTTGCTACTCATTTTTGCCTGTTGCCTGCTTTTTTGCTTCAATATGCTGCTGCTATTTGTATGATCATGAGGTGAACCAGACAGGAGAGCTGACAGGGAGAGGGAAGGAGAAAGAGTAATGTTTCTATCAGATTGCTTTTTCACATGTAGCCGTTCCCCAGTCTGCTTTGCAACGTGGCTGTGGTAAAGAGTTTTCCTGACTCATCTGGGGTTTCTGCGTTATGGCGCAACGATGGGAACGTACAGAAAGAGGAGCAAAATGAGTAAATTGATATAGCCATCAAAGCCAGAGCCGTTTGATAGATGTTTCTTTTAGTGACAGTTTCCATGGTGGCATGGTGAACCAGAAGAGGAGTCTGCTCTATGGGAAAAAAATCGTCATGTTTCTCATTTCATTAGATGGCAGCAGGGAGGAGGCCTGACTTATTCTTAATTTGACTTAAGTTTAGATAGGTACAGGAGCAGGAACTACGTGAGCAGTTGCATTAGCATAACTGAGCTGCTGGTGTGGACACCAAAATGAATGGTCGTGATTAGAGAGGGGGCCTCTCTGAGGTTTCCCTGTTCCAGAAAGGACTGCAGTGTAGAAGCTACAAGCCTTGAGGAACATCCTCCTTAGTTTCTGCCTTTCTTTTCTTTGGCATAATGAGGATCGTTGCCGGTGTGTGCAGTGTAGTTGTGTAGTGAGGCACTGTAGCAGAGGCAGAAAAAAGCATCTTGCAGAGAAAGTAAAAGAACAGTGGAACGCTGCTAGGAGTAACAGTATTATTATCCTATTGTGCTGGGTTAATGACTCTTGTTTTTGTCACCAGGATTGATCTGGCGAAAGCATCCGTTGCACTGAGGGGCTTTCTTACCCTAGATCCAGCAGCAATAGCCTCTTTCTGTAAGTATTCTGAGGTGGTTGGAACATTGTCCGAAGGGAAAGTAAATGGAGAAATCCTAGGATGAGTTTTCACTGAAAATTTCTCCCTGGTTATTTTCAGGTTAAATGACTCGCCAAGTAGTAGAAAATGGCATTCAAGGCCTCTGAACACCTTGCCACATTGCAGGTTTTTTCGGCATTTGGAATAAAAGTATTAGTGGGGCTGTTAGTGAGATATTTCTTTTCCCACTTCAGAATACAAAACAAAGATTTACTGAAAAGAGGAGAATCGTGAGATGCCAGCCACCTATGATGTAGCCAATAGATGCAAAAGTGCACAAACCAGATTTTGATGGGTCAGGGAATGCTGAGGAAGAGAGAATGAGTTAAAGGTGACAGTACTGTTGGAGGCAGCGGAGTGAGAAGAAAGAAAATGTAGTGGTGATTATTGTGTCATGATGAAACAACATTCTTGTAGTTTATAGCTAACACTACTAATTCCATTTCTTCCAGTGTACTTTGCTGCTCTTGTCTTATCCTTAAGCCAGCAGATGACATGTGACAGAATTAATCTCTACACACCACCTTCAGAGAATGGCAGCATCTGGTAGGAAACTTAAAAAATCACTTCTGTAAATGAGAGCGTAGCTCCCCTTATAACATTATCCACTTAGGGATTTTTGTTGAGCTTGTGGATTTGAAAGGTTATATGATACACGTATGAAAGTACTAATGAAAGATTTCATTACTAAGCTCGTCTTTATGTGAGCTTGACCTGAATTTTTGATAATTTCACTGAAAAATGAGAAGTCTCAAGGTTGGGCTCAGTCATGCTGGTCGCAGATCCGTTATACCTCAAACAGTAGCCTGCTCAAGCGATGCTGGAAAGCTCAAGCCTGGCAGGGAACTTAACCTCTTTTGCTGGGGAAATGGGACTCCACTGAGGTAACCCTTTTGTGTCCGAGGGCAGAACATTCTGTTGGGAGTCAGTGCTGGTTTTGGAGGAGATAGTACAATCTGTCCAAGAAATAGGATGCAGACACAAATGGCAGTAAATGTGAAGTATTGTTTCATGCTAGGAGCTCCCATTTAAATGGTACTTCCTAATGAGATTAAACTCTTGTAGCATGAGTTTTTTAAATAGACCAGGAGAAGTAAAATAAAGAAAAGCATTTGCATGAAAACTTGATGTTTTAGGTATTTAGCCAGTTTTCCTCTTTTATGACTTTTGTAAGTGTTCAGTTTATTGAAGAGCCTAGTCTTCAGGAGCAAAACCTCAACCTATATGACTGCTGGTATTATGACAGTAAGAAAGATATAGACTAACTTAAATCATAACTTTCTTAAAGCCCTAGATGATCTGCCCTACAGCACCTGTACACAAGTCCTTATGCTGGCTTCCAGCCCGACTTTGCTAACTTGCTGTTCACTTGTCTTGTTGCCTCATGAGGAAGTACTTTAAACAAGACAGACTTACTGTATCGTGCTGTATCTTTCACAATACAAGTTGACTGTGATTTTGACTTTTATTTTCTGTCTCTTGGTCAGGGAAAGGAATTTGCTGTTGAAATCTACAAGTGGCCTTTCACTGTCAGATAATGGGGTTTCTTAATTGAATTGATGTCTTTGGTATCCACTGTTTAGCAGGCCTTTGCAACCCAAGACCATCAGGCTGGTAGAAGTAGTTGTGGTTTCACACCTGGCTTAACAAGTTTGTTGTTATGATACTCTGTTGAAATGATTATTGCTACGTTTGTGTACCAGTGAACTCCTGACTGATGGTTTGATGTGCTTTGCCCAGGACGGCAGGTACAGAGGAAGAAATTCTTCACCCATGGATTGTGGTGAATTTGGTAGTGTCTATTCTAGTTGGGACAAGTTGGATATTCCTGTCTTACCGACCAGAGCTAGACCACAGTGAAGGTAGGAAACGTTAATAGGCAACAGGTTAGCGACTCTTGTTATCTGCTGTGTTTTGTATTCAAGACTAGTCCTGAGAAGTGCTATGGTTGAGAAATGATATGCTTTGTTACCTTTGTCTTGTCTTCTAGTAACTTTTCAAGTGCTTTTTAGGATTCTGGTATCTGTGTTTAGCTTCTAAAGAAAAAGTAGTAACTGGGTTGGGGGGGGGAGGGGGACCATGAGGAAATAAACTGTTTGTCCTGGCTGAAGCAGTTTTTGAAATATGACACTGTGTGGGTCATTTTTGTAGAAAAAAATAATTTTGACTTTAACAGCATTTTGAACATTTGAAATTATTCTGCTTGTGTTTTAAAAAATTTCCTTATCTTATTAATGCTCCTCTTTGCAAATGCTGAATGTGTTTTGAGTTCAGTTTGGTGGTATCGTTCAACAGAACATTATGGTAGCTTTGGGAACTTGTAAGTTTTGAGAAGTCAGATTTGTGCTTGCAGAACAGGACTTCAAGTGAGGACGGCTTGTGGTGGTCCAGCCTGGGGGAGGGAGGTGGGATCAAGCTGGTGGTCCCCCTTTCTTAGAAGAAGCTTTGCTGGAGGTTGGGACTTTTTCCCTTGTGTCTTCCCAACTGGGATCCAAAAGGTGGCACGTATCGCTCCTTAGCCTTCCTATCAAGTGCATATAGCCTGTAGGATGAAGCAGGTGCTGTAGGTGGGAATCACAAGTTTTAACTGTAAGTCAACTCCTATCCAAAAAGCAGCATGGTTTGAAGCATAGATTTGGTTTGGGGAGCCTGAGAGAGATTCACCATGTTTTTTCAGATAATAATTTTGATTAGCAGATCTTTGTATTTCAGTAGGCTCCAGTTTCTCTACTTAACTTATTTCTAGTACTTAATGAGTTTTTAAAATGTCTAGTTGGCAGCCTTTAAAATCTTTGAAAGGAAGGTTAATAAATACAATTTTTAGGTTGTATTTATAAGGCATTTTTTAAGTAATGAAGGCTTACTCAAGGAAGCCAGCAGCTCAGGTTTTGATTTTTTTCTGGATGGTCCCAACTAGGATTAGAAGATCTGCTTCTGAAATTTCAAGAGAGAAATTCTGTTAGGATTTGGCCTAAATAGTAATGCAAACCTCATATGCGAAGTATAATTTAGCAGGAAAAGGTGTGTGACTGTCATAGCTGAGTGGATAAACAACACAGTTGCATGTGCAGATTATGTAATTTTACTATGTTGAAGTTGCTAGCAAACACCATCTGGTCTATATGCTGAATGTGTTGCTAGCAAGACAGAAAGTCTTCACCTATACTGAGGTTGCATATAGATATGCAAGGGAACCCAGATCCTAGAAGATTCTGTCCTCAGCAGCACAGAGCTCCGCAAGGACTGCTTCACCATGCTGCTTAGCATGCCTAGCTGGGTTTCTCCACGAGCAGCTCTCCACAGCTGACGTGACAGCTGTCTCCTGTGCCTGAACTACCTTGGTGACAGCTAGCTGTGAGCAGTATAATTCATGACTTTCTGTCTCAGGTCCCTGTGTCGCTAGCTTAACGCTGTGATTCACAGGGCAGGTATATACAAAAATGAATGAGCCTGTAAATGGAAAACTTCCTGAGTCGGACACTTTCAAAACTGTCACGGTCCCTCAGTCTACCTTCTGGTTTTATTTAAGTGTCCAAGCTGAACGCAGGATGATATGGCATGCGACCTGCTGTCAACATCTTGCTGTTAATGATTTGTTGATCGGGAAGAAAAGGAGGAGGCTTGGGGAAATGCCAGACAACTTTTCAGGTATAATTAAATTGCTTTCAGGTAAAGCTTTTAAAATAGCATTCTTTTCTCTCTCCTTTAGAACTGATGTTTCATGCTGAAATTGAGGAATTTCCCCAGGGGGATATCTTACCCAGAGTCCAGCCATAGCGTGGAACGAGCACCTTCAAATATTGTAGCTGTGACCGATGGCTCAACGTTTTCTTTGTATTGTAGCCATATAATATACTTTTCGTAAAGCAAAAATTGTATTTTTATATTGTATGTATTTGCTTTTCTTTGATCTTTTATGTGTACTATTTTTAAAATTTGCAATGATGAATGAAAACTTTTATACTCTTGCTTTTTGTTTTATAAAGTAAATTATCTCTAGCACATAAAGTCAAGCTGATTTTGTAAACATTGCTGCCTAGATAGCCAAACGAAATAGAGGGATGCAGGAGATCAGGTATTCAGTGCTTTTAGACAACTGTACATTCTTCGACAACCTGCACTTTGTTATTGATGCTGGTATCAGCTTGTACAGTTGAGTTATCTGCCTTGGCTAAATGTTTTCTAGAAATTAAAACAAATCTCCTTATGAAGAAAATAGTTTAAGAAAGGTTATAACAAAACAAAATTAGAAAACATGCAATAAACGTTTCAAAGTTAACAAGCATAGAATAATCTGGTTTTAGTTGTCATAAAAAGCGTTTTTCTAGAGTATGGGTCTGGATTGTCAAGGACTTAGTTTGATAATTCCTTGAAAAAGGACACTTTTCTTCTTCGTATCTCTTCATTTAGTTCTCTTGACAAAGGTCCTGACAATACCAAGTTCTTCTAAGATGGTGTAGATGTAAGAAACAGAAGTTTTAATGTTGCAGCAGTTTGGTCAGCTAATGAATACCTAAAATGTCCTTTAATCAAGCTGGGCTTTTTGGGTTGCCAATAGAAAATACAGGCCATGTAATGTGCAACTGTTACAAAGCCAATCACAGGAAAAGTGTTCTAATTTCTACTTTTCTTGTATAGTATGGTAAGAGTAATAGCGTTACTTACTGCTCTTTCTAAAGAAACTTGGAATTCACAGATGTTACTTCAACCTATTTTGATGGAGAAAGATTTATTCCAAAATCGTTTGTTTTGTGTCAGGAGTGGAACAGGAAATTTCTTCCTAAACTTAGAAGAAAATGCCTATTAAAGCAAAAGAAAAACCCTACAGCAGCCCACCTTCTGTGTAGTGACATCATGGTGGTGGTGGTAGCGGCAGTTCATTGTTTTTGATGACGGCCAAGATTTTTCTCCTCTGTGTTTCAGTGGCAAATGTCTGGCAGGACAAGACAATCTCCTAAGTAAACTACTCTTGCTAGTAAACTAGCAAGAGCTCGTTTAAAATCCGTTTCTCAAGAAATAGCACCTAAAGTATACGTCCTATTTTTGTATGTTATTTAATATGTATTGATTTTACACTGTTATGTTTAATCCATGTGTCTAAGCGGGTTTGTGAAGGGGATGCAGTAGTTAAGTTTGCTGCAGAACTACTGCAATTTGTAGCACTGAAGATGAGAGTAGCCAGATGTTAAAGGGGCAGTAACTTTTAATGCTGTCACCTCTGTTGCTTTAGAGCACGGGTGAGAAGATGAGTAACGAGGGCTCTTGGTGCCCTGTAGAACAGCTGAGGTCTGTTATGCTCATCCAGCACGTTTAGAAAACTCTAAAATTCAGTGTTCCTGATGCTTGTAGAACACTGTGAGTAATCTGGAATAAGATGGTTCCACCAAAATTAAAAGGACAAAATTAAAGGGACGTTCCATTGCTGTCAGCCGTAATTTAGGGCGTTCCCTTTGTTGTGGGAAAGAGCTGTTAACCTTTTTTGCAAATTGTTATGGTTCTTGCTTATGTACTCTTGCAAAACTGCAGAGCTGAATAATGGCTCGCACTGCTCTATGCATTATATACATGAAAATGGAGAGGTTAAGGGTGGCGCTCCCTTCAGTGTGGCACTGGAGGCTTTTGTCTCCATTTGGCTGTAGGAGATGGGGGAAGAGGCCCTACTTAATCTTCCCTCGTAGCTTTCCGCCACAGGGGGAAGCGAGCATAGGACTTTCTTCAGCTGTAGCGTGTTTTCCAGAATTGCTGAGCTCCCGAAGACGCGAGTAACACTGGCTTCTAGGTCTGTGTGCTGTTTGATGCTCCTGTCAACTTGGCTCCGTAAGAAGTGTAATTTTGCCCATAAAGAGGAAGTATGGAGCTCGGTGCACAACAGCCCCAAGATGTCAAATCGGTTACAGGAAAAGCCTGAATAACTTAACCGCTCGATTTTAATTTCTGACGCTGTTACACTAGAATTGGCCTTCTAAGTGTCCCTTTGAGAAAGCACACGCTAGCCCAGAGCCAGGTGTGTTTGTTCTTGTTCTGAAGTATGGGGTTTGCCTCAATGATTTGAGCAGAGGTTAAGCTGACGATCTTAATGAGGTCAATATTTCAAACCAGGCTTGCCTTTCCAGTTTATATTTTTGGGAGGGTCTGGGTATATTCATATTTGAATTAACAAGCTTTGAAATTTGTCATTTAAAATTACATATAAGTAAACAGTTTGTCGGGTAATTACCTTTTTTACAAAGTACTTGTAATTCCCTTAAGCTTCACAATGGAATGTGAGTTCAGCTGAGAGCTTTTTGCCTAGCTACCTGGAAAGTTTAGAAATTCTTGAAGTTTACGAAGCAGATATTTAATTACAGGACATGCAGTATCTGTAGAAGCCTTAATTGAAATGCTTCTGTGTATTTCCATACCATTGTTATTAATGCAGGATTTTTGTGTTAAGCAAAAATATTACCAAGAAGTTAGTGCCAATTTCTCATTTTTTAAAACACTTAACCGATCTAAACTACTGTTAAAAATTACTGTACTACTTTGTGCTGTTTCCAAATAATTGGCATATTTAAAATAAAGCAGTCCAACTCATTTTTTTTCCAGTGCTGGCATTGTATATAATATACAAGCTCTGCAGGGATAGTAATGGGAAAGCTTTTTTTTTTTTTTAAATTTGG